ATACCAGTTCCTGCCTGGATTAAATAGCCTAGGAGCTCCATATATAAAGTTTACTGTTGTGTTTGAATACAATACTCATTGCCATTTTCAGATGTTTTAATTATTAACAGCAGCCAAGAATTTAAATTCAGAATATACAGAAAATCAAGAAATAATTGTTCTTATGTACATTATTATTCTTGACATTATGACTGAGTTAAATGTTCTGTATTAATACTCTTCCATATTCTTGAGAACTTTATGTATATCTAACCCATAGTTCATAGATAAGGAAATATTTAACAAATATTTATGATAGTCTAAGCTTGCTACGACTTGCAGCTCACAAGACTGCCATCCCCACGAGCCCCCCTGGGGCGGGGCAGATGGCACACCAGAGGCCTAGCCTCTCCCCACGAGCCCCCCTGGGGCGGGGCAGATGGCAGACTAGAGGCCTAGCCTCTCCCTGCGAGCCCCGTGAGGGCGGGGACTGTGGCTAGGCCTGGGACACTAGGTCCTAAAGATGAGGGGTACTTTGTACTCTGTCATAAGCGAGAGATTAGTCTCAGACATCCCCCAGATAGGGTCAGGCGAGGTCACCATTAGAAAACACTCGGGCCGGGAGAAGTACGGCGAATAAAAAATAAAATATTATGAATAATATGATTTAAAATCTCTTAAAAGTTTCATAAGCAATCATTTATAATTGCCATGAAATACATTTACATCGAAAAATAGACAAAGACCATTCTCAGCTAAGAACAAGAATTGCTAGACCTAAGTAATATTCCTAAAATAAGATAGATATGTAGCTTAATGATATTCAGCTCAAGAATTTATATGTCTATTGGATAATAGCTAAAATATATGTTCTACTGGTTACAAAACTTAAATTTAGATGATTTAAAATTTTAACAGAACATTAAAATTTAATTGCAAAAATAGATCTAGTAATGTTCAGAACATATTAGTTGAATTATGATAGATAGTTAGTCTAGATTAAGTTGTTAGTAGTTTTAGTTAGAAAGTTATGTATAGGATAGTTAGGTTAGGTTAGTAAGGTTAGGTTAGTTAGGTTAGGTTAGTAAAGTTATGTAGGATTAGGTTAGAGTTAGTTAGGTAGGTTAGGTTGGTTAGGTTAGGTTAGGTAAAGTTATTTAGGATAGGTTAGGTTAGGTGTTAGGTGGTAGTTAGGTTAGGTTAGGTAGGTAGGTTAGTTAGGTAGGTTAGGTTAGGTTAGGTTAAGGATAGGTTAGGTTAGGTTAGGTTAGGTTAGGTTAGGTTAGGTTAGGTAAGGTTAGTTAGGTTAGTAAAGTTATGTTAGGATAGGTTAGGTTAGGTTAGGTTAGGTTAGGTTAGGTTAGGTTAGGTTAGGTAAAGTTATGTTAGGATAGGTTAGGTTAGGTTAGGTTAGGTTAGGTTAGGTTAGTTGTTAGGTTAGGTAAGGTTAGGTTAGGTAGGTTAGGTTAGAAGTTATGTTAGGATAGGTTAGGTTAGGTTAGGTTAGGTTAGGTTAGGTTAGTTTAGGTTAGGTTAGGTAAGAGTTATGTTAGGATAGGTAATAGTTAGGTTAGGTTAGGTAGGTTAGGTTAGGTTATAGGTTAGGTTAGGTTAGTTAGGTTAGGTTAGGTAAAGTTATGTTAGGTATAGGTTAGGTTAGGTTAGGTTAGGTTAGGTTAGGTTAGGTTAGGTAAAGTTAGTTAGGATTAGGTTAGGTTAGGTTAGTTAGGTTAGGAAAGGTTAGGTTAGGTAGGTTAGGTTTTAGGTTAGGTTAGGTTAGGTAAAGTTATGTTAGGATAGGTTATAGGTTAGGTTAGGTTAGGTTAGGTTAGGTTAGGTTATAGGTTAGGTTAGGTTAGGTTAGGTTAGGTTAGGTTAGGTTAGGTTAGGTTAGGGTAGTTTTAGGTTAGGTTAGGTAAAGTTATGTTAGGATAGGTTTAGGTTAGGTTAGGTTAGGTTGGTTAGGTTAGGTTAGGTTAGGTTAGGTTAGGTAAAGTTATGTTAGGATAGGTTAGGGTTAGGTTAGGTTAGGTTAGGTTAGGTTAGGTTAGGTAGAAGTTATGGTTAGGATTAGGTTAGGTTAGGTTAGGTTAGGTTAGGTTAGGTTTAGTTAGGTTAGGTAAAGTTAGGTTAGGTTAGGTTAGGTTAGGTTAGGTTAGGTTAGTGTTAGGTAGGTTAGGTTAGGTTAGGTTAGGTTAGGTTAGGTTAGGTTATGTTTAGGATAGGTTAGGTTAGGTTAGGTTAGGTTAGGTTAGGTTAGGTTAGGTTAGGTTAGGTTAGGTTAGGTTAGGTAAAGTTATGTTAGGATAGGTTAGGTTAGGTTAGGTTAGGTTAGGTTAGGTTAGGTTAGGTTAGGTTATGTTAGGATAGGTTAGGTTAGGTTAGGTTAGGTTAGGTTAGGTTAGGTCAGGTCAGGTCAGGTTAGGTTAGGTTAGGTTAGGTTAGGTTAGGTTAGGTTAGGTCAGGTCAGGTCAGGTTAGGTTAGGTTAGGTTAGGTTAGGTCAGGTCAGTCAGGTTAGGTTAGGTTAGGTTAGGTTAGGTTAGGTTAGGTTGGGTTTAAAGTTATGTTAGGATAGGATAGGTTAGGTTAGGTTAGGTAAAGTTATGTTAGGATAGGATAGGTTAGGTTAGGTTAGGTTAGGTTAGGTTAGGTTATGTTAGGATAGGATAGGTAGTTAGGTTAGGTTAGGTTAGGTTAGGTTAGGTTAGGTTAGGTTAGGTTAGGTAAGGTTATGTTAGGATAGGATAGGTTAGGTTAGGTTAGGTTAGGTTAGGTTAGGTTAGGTTAGGTTAGGTTATGTTAGGATAGGATAGGTTAGGTTAGGTTAGGTTAGGTTAGGTTAGGTTAGGTTAGGTTAGGTTAGGTAAGGTTATGTTAGGATAGGATAGGTTAGGTTAGGTTAGGTTAGGTTAGGTTAGGTTAGGTTAGGTTAGGTTAGGTTAGGTTAGGTCAGGTTAGGTAAGGTTTAGGTTAGGTTAGGTCAGGTTAAGTCAGGTTAGGTTAGGTTAGGTTAGGTTAGGTTAGGTTAGGTAAGGTTATGTTAGGATAGGATAGGTTAGGTTAGGTTAGGTAAGGTTATGTTAGGATAGGTTAGGTTAGGTAAGGTTATGTTAGGATAGGTTAGGTTAGGTTAGGTTAGGTTAGGTTAGGTTAGGTTAGGTTAAGGTCAGGTTAGGTAAGGTTTAGGTTAGGTTAGGTCAGGTTAAGTCAGGTTAGGTTAAGTTAGGTTAGGTTAGGTTAGGTTAGTTAGGTTAGGTCAAGTTAGGTTAGGTTAGGTTAGGTTAGATTAGGTTAGGTTAGGTCAGGTTAGGTAAGGTTTAGGTTAGGTTAGGTCAGGTTAAGTCAGGTTAGGTTAAGTTAGGTTAGGTTAGGTTAGGTTAGGTTAGGTCAAGTTAGGTTAGGTTAGGTTAGGTTAGGTTAGGTTAGGTCAGGTTAGGTAGGGTTTAGGTTAGGTTAAGTCAGGTTAAGTCAGGTTAGGTTAAGTTAGGTTTGGTTAGGTTAGGTCAGGTCAGGTCAGGTTAGGTTAGGTTAGGTTAGGTTAGGTTAGGTTAGGTTAGGTTAGGTTAGGCTAGGTAAAGTCAGGTCAGGTCAGGTTAGGTTAGGTTAGGTTAGGTTAGGTTAGGTCAGGTTAGGTAAGGTTTAGGTTAGGTTAGGTTAGGTCAGGTTAAGTCAGGTTAGGTTAGGTTAGGTTAGGTTAGGTTAGGTTAGGTTAGGTTAGGTTAGGTCAAGTTAGGTTAGGTTAGGTTAGGTTAGGTTAGGTCAGGTTAGGTAGGGTTTAGGTTAGGTTAAGTCAGGTTAAGTCAGGTTAGGTTAAGTTAGGTTTGGTTAGGTTAGGTCAGGTCAGGTCAGGTTAGGTTAGGTTAGGTTAGGTTAGGTTAGGTTAGGTTAGGTTAGGTAAGGTCAGGTCAGGTCAGGTTAGGTTAGGTTAGGTTAGGTTAGGTTAGGTTAGGTTAGGTTAGGTTAGGTTAGGTTAGGTAAGGTTTAGGTTAGGTTAGGTTAGGTCAGGTTAAGTCAGGTTAGGTTAAGTTAGGTTAGGTTAGGTTAGGTTAGGTTAGGTCAGGTCAAGTTAGGTTAGGTTAGGTTAGGTTAGGTTAGGTTAGGTTAGGTTAGGTTAGGTTAGATTAGGTCAGGTTAGGTAAGGTTTAGGTTAGGTTAAGTCAGGTTAAGTCAGGTTAGGTTAGGTTAGGTTAGGTTAGGTTAGGTTAGGTTAGGTTAGGTTAGGTTAGGTTCGTCAGGAAACAGGACAAGTGTTTCCTGACGCGGGTCTTAGATGATGACCCACCGTTGAAGCTTTAGGTCATCTGACCGAGGCCTTCAGCTGGTTTACCTCCCCCTCCCCTTTAAAAATTATGGCCATACTTATAACCATTTTTCATATGGCTAAGTACAAAATACAATAAATTTTATTTTGGGAAAACTGGAAAAAGTCTTGTACCAAGATTGCAATATAAATATAGTATTTGAACTGGACAAGAGTCTAATGCTCTGTTTATTCATGGGGAAGATTTTAATCACCTTTTCCTCTTCCAAAATGCCGAGAAAGTTGTACCAAGGAAATTCATGATTGAACGTAGTATAGCAGACTAGATCTTTGTAAAAATAAATAGCACTGGTCTAGGAATATACACAGTAGATATATTTTTAAGTAATAGAATTTAAGAGGATTATGTGTTAACAAAATTCCCCTTTGCCTGACATGTAATAATAATAATATCTTTATTTCTACAAGTACATGTACAAAGTATACAGGCCTAGCTGACATCAATGACAGAAAGCCGCTTGTTATTCAGAGCATTTCGGGCAAATTGGGTCAATTTTGTCCAAGGATGCGACCCACACCAGTCGACTTACACCCAGGCACCCATTTGCCCTGACTAAAACGTTCACAACAAAGGAAAAGCAACTCCCACGCACTTCCCTGATATGTCTTTCCTCTGCCTGCCTGTCAGGTGCTCCAACACCCCGTCACCCCCAACAGTGTGGGAGTATGCGCCACACTCGCTATATAAAGCCAAGCGTTAGGCTCAGCTGGCAGACACCAGCATCAAGGCTGCCTGTTTCACCAAGGCTCTCTGCGTCACCAGGGCTGCTTGCCTCACGAACGCTCCCTGCGTCACCAAGGCTTCTTGCCTCACCAACGCTCCCTGTGTCACCAAGGCTACTTGCCTCACCAACGCTCCCTGCGTCACCAAGGCTTCTTCCCTCACCAACGCTCCCTGTGTCACCAAGGCTACTTGCCTCACCAACGCTCCCTGCGTCACCAAGGCTACTTGCCTCACCAACGCTCCCTGCGTCACCAAGGCTCCTTGATTCAATCAAAACAATTTTCTTCACATTCCACTAAATTACTTCAACAAATTTAAATCTATGTCTACACACATCAATTATTAATTATATTAAACTATATTAGTTGACGCCAGTTATTTTTTTTTGTCTGGACGGAAAGAAATGTAAACGTACGAATAAATATAGAATTGGTGCATTTGTATTAACAAACTCGTTGGTCATTTTACGTGGCAACGATTGTTCATGATTGTTGGATATCCTTGAACACCGGCCGGTAACTACCTTCCGCTTTTGTGATTGTTTCTCTCATAAACAATCTGTCTTTTGGTGCACACCCATAGCGAAAAGCAAGCTGAAGTAACTACGTTCTTCAGCGGAAGTTACTGGTCGTTGGACGGAAGTTACTACGTTCTTGAGTGAAACTGCTTCAACAGAAGTCACAGGGTCTTCAACAGAAGTCACAGGGTCTTCAACAGAAGTCACAGGGTCTTCAACAGAAGTCACAGGGTCTTCAACAGAAGTCACAGGGTCTTCAACAGAAGTCACAGGGTCTTCAACAGAAGTCACAGGGTCTTCAACAGAAGTCACAGGTTCTTCAACAGAAGTCACAGGTTCTTCAATAGAAGTCACAGGGTCTTCAACAGAAGTCACAGGTTCTTCAACAGAAGTCACAGGTTCTTCAACAGAAGTCACAGGTTCTTCAACAGAAGTCACAGGTTCTTCAACAGAAGTCACAGGGTCTTCAACAGAAGTCACAGGTTCTTCAACAGAAGTCACAGGTTCTTCAACAGAAGTCACTATGTTGTTCAATGGAGGCCTGGTAGTTCTGGCGTGGGTTACAATACTAGCGTTGTCACCACTACATAGCTACGGACTCCCACAGATCAACCAGTCTCACAGAGCAGCAGAATGGAAGTTCGAGCACCAACGATCGTCAGGTATGTTCCTCAAGATATAATTCCTTATTTACGATACTAGAATTATAAATTAGTACTATATACTCTCAGGATATTTATATTCAGTGTTACCTGGAGTATACCTGGTGAGGGTTTCGAGGGTCAACGCCCCCGCGCCCGGTCTGTGACCAGGCCTCATGGTGGATCAGAAGATTACTGTTGACCGCACGTAAACCGACGTACGAACCACAGCCCGGCTGATCAGGTGCTGACTTTAGGTGCTTGTGCAAAGCCTTCTTGAAGACAGCCAGGGGTCTATTGGTACTTGAAAAGTCTTGGACCCCTGACACTTATAGTATTGTTAGTTTAATATCATTATTATGCACCCCGTACCCATACCATGGATGGTAATCAAAAGATTACAGAGGTACATAATGGGTCCAGGAACTGGGCCCCAAAGTTTTAATAGCTTAACAAGTTACAATGGTTACAGTTATAATGGATTATTTATGCAAACATGAATTCGGTAACAAAAATATTACAGTGTAGCATATTTCTGTTTTGTATTTATTTATATTACCTTATATTTTAGCAGTATATGGGTTAAAGTCGCAAAGGATTCGAAGACTAACCCAAAAGGGTTCTTTCAGGTATACAGAAGTAAGATTAGGGACAAGATAGGCCCACTTAAGAGTAACTCAGGTCAGATCACTGACAGTGATAAGGAAATGTGTGAACTTTTCAATACCTACTTCCTCTCAGTTTTTACTCAGGAAGATACTAGCGAAATTCCAGAAATAATAAATTATGTAGAACAGGACGATAATAAACTATGCGCGATTGGGGTAACTAGTGACATGGTCCTCAGACAAATAGAGAAATTAAAACCTAACAAATCCCCAGGCCCTGATGAGCTGTTTGCAAGGGTGTTAAAGGAATGTAAAGAGGAACTTAGCATACCTTTGGCTAATCTTTTCAATATATCACTACAAACTGGCATAGTGCCTGATAAGTGGAAAATGGCAAATGTAATACCTATTTACAAGGCAGGTGATAGGTCCTTAGCTTCGAATTATAGACCAATAAGCCTTACCTCCATAGTTGGTAAATTTATGGAATCAATAATTGCCGAAACAATTCGTAGCCATCTTGAAAGGCATAAATTAATTAATGAATCTCAGCATGGTTTTACAAAGGGGCGTTCCTGTCTTACGAATTTACTAACTTTCTTCACTAAGGTATTTGAGGAGGTAGATCATGGTATTGAATATGACAGTGTATATGGACTTCAGTAAGGCTTTTGATAGAGTTCCACATCAGAGGCTGTTGAGCAAACTTAAGGCACACGGAATATGAGGAGAAATTTTTTCCTGGGTAGAGGCATGGTTGACAAATAGACAGCAGAGAGTTTGCATAAATGGGGAGAAATCAGAATGGGGGCACATCACAAGTGATGTTCCACAGGGGTCAGTGTTGGGCCCCTTGTTGTTCACAGTCTACACAAGCGACATAGATGAGGGAATAAATAGCGACATGAGCAAATTTGCTGATGACACCAAAATAGGCCGTCCAATTCATTGTAATGAGGACAGAGCACTCCAGGATGATTTGAATAGACTGATGCATTGGTCGGAGAAGTGGCAGATGCAGTTTAATATAGACAAATGCGAAGTTCTAAATATTGGACAGGAAAATAACCATGCCACATATAAACTAAATAATGTAGATCTTAATATTACGGATAGCGAAAAGGATTTAGGAGGTTTGGTTAGCAGCAATCTGAAACCAAGACAAGAGAATCCTTGGCTTCATAGCAAGAAGTATAAATAATAGAAGTCCTCAGGTTGTTCTTCAACTCTATATATCTTTGGTTAGGCCTCATTTAGATTATGCTGCGCAGTTTTGGTCACCGTATTACAGAATGGATAGAAATGCACTGGAAAACGTACCAAGGAGGATGACAAAGTTGATCCCTTGTATCAGAAATCTTCCCTATAAGAACATAAGAACGAAGGAACACTGCAGCAGGCCTACTGGCCCATGCGAGGCAGGTCCAAGTCTCCTACCGGCTTAAGCCAATGCACCCAACCTGGTCAGGTCAGGTCACATTGACTTAAGGGAGGAACACGGCAACCGACCTGGTAGCACAAGCTATCAGGTCCAACTCACACCCACCCACATCCACTCATGTATTTATCCAACCTATTTTTAAAGCTACACAACGTTCTGGCCTCTATAACTGTACTCGGGAGTTTGTTCCACTCATCCACAACTCTATTACCAAACCAGTACTTTCCTATATCCTTCCTGAATCTGAATTTTTCCAACTTAAAAACCATTGCTGCGAGTCCTGTCTAGGCTAGATATTTTCAGCACACTATTTACATCCCCTTTATTTATTCCTGTCTTCCATTTATACACCTCAATCATATCCTCCCTAATTCTACGTCTTTCTAGAGAGTGCAGATTCAGGGCCCTTAGTCTATCCTCATAGGGAAGGTTTCTGATACATGGGATCAACTTTGTCATCCTCCTTTGTACATTTTCCAGAGAATTTATATCCATTCTGTAATACGGTGACCAAAATTGTGCAGCATAATCTAAATGAGGCCTAACCAAGGATATATAGAGTTGAAGAACAACCTGAGGACTCCTATTATTTATGCTTCTTGATATGAAGCCAAGGATTCTATTAGCTTTATTGCGAACACTTATGCACTGTTGTCTTGGCTTCAGATTACTGCTAACCAGAACTCCTAAATCTTTTTCGCAATCCGTAATATTAAGATCTACATTATTTAGTTTATATGTGGCATGGTTATTGTCCTGTCCAACATTTAGAACTTTGCATTTGTCTATATTAAACTGCATCTGCCACTTCTCCGACCACTGCATAAGTCTATTCAAATCTTCCTGGAGTGCTCGAATGTCCTCGTCAGAATGAATTCGACGGCCTATTTTGGTGTCATCGGCAAACTTGCCGATGTCGCTCTTTATGCCCTCATCTATGTCGTTTATGTAGATTGTGAACAGCAGGGGGCCCAACACTGACCCCTGTGGAACACCGCTCGTGACGCTTCCCCACTCTGATTTCTCCCCATTTATGCAAACTCTCTGCTGCCTATTTGTCAACCATGCCTCTATCCAGGAAAAAATTTCTCCTCCTATTCCATGTGCCTTAATTTTCCTCAATAGTCTCTGATGTGGGACCCTGTCAAAAGCCTTACTGAAGTCTATATACACAATATCATATTCATTACCATGATCTACCTCCTCAAATACCTTAGTGAAAAAAGTTAATAAATTCGTAAGGCAGGAACGCCCCTTTGTAAAACCATGCTGAGATTCGTTGATTAATTTATGCTTTTCAAGGTGGCTACGAACTGCCTCGGCAATTATTGATTCCATAAATTTTCCCACTATGGAGGTTAGGCTTATTGGTCCATAGTTCGAAGCTAAGGACCTGTCACCTGCTTTGAAAATAGGTATCATATTTGCCATTTTCCACTTATCTGGCACCAGTGATATGTTGAAAAGATTAGCCAAAGGTGTGCTAAGCTCCTCTTTACATTCCTTTAGAACCCTTGCATACAGTTCATCAGGGCCTGGGGATTTGTTAGGTTTTAATTTATCTATTTGCCTAAGGACCATGTCACTTGTGACCCTAATCGTGCACAGTTTATTATCGTCCTGTTCTACATAATTTATCATTACTGGAATATCGCTGGTATCCTCCTGTGTAAAAACTGAGAGGAAGTATGTGTTAAAAATTCTACACATTTCCTTGTCACTGTCAGTGAGCTGACCCGAGGAACTTTTGAGTGGGCCTATCTTGTCTCTGATCTTACTTCTGTATACCTGAAAGAATCCTTTTGGGTTAGTCTTCGATTCTCTTGCAACTTTAACCTCATAATCTCGCTTTGCTTTTCTAATTCCCTTTTTTATTTCTCTCTTTAACTGAATATATCGATTTCTTAATTGCCCCTCTCCTCTTATGATTTGCCTATATATGCCTCTCTTTTGACCAATCAGATATTTTAATCTATTGTTCATCCATTTAGGATCATTTTTGTTTGATCTGATTTCCCTATTTGGAACATAATTTGACTGAGCAGCTAAAACTATGCCCTGGAAAGCATCATATCGGCAACCATCACCACCTACCTGACCCTTAGTCAGGTCATTCCAGTTCAGCCCACCTAAGTAATTTTTCAGTCCTATGAAATCAGCCAAGCGAAAGTCAGGGACGGAGACTTGATTGCCATTATTTGGGGAATTCCATGATATATTAAAACTGAGGGATTTGTGATCACTTTCCCCAAGCTCATCATTAACCTCAAGATTATTAATTAGTGTTTCCCTACTGGCAAGAACCAAGTCAAGGAGGTTATTTCCTCTAGTTGGCTCTGTCACAAACTGTTTTAAAAAACAATCCTGGATCGTATCAAGAAAGTCACCTGACTCTAAATTTCCTGTCAAATTGCTCCAGTCAATCTGTCTATAGTTGAAATCTCCCATTACCACAACATTTTCGTATGTAGATGCCTTACGAATTTCGTCCCATAGAAGTTTACTGCACTCCCTATCAAGATTTGGGGCCCTGTAAATAACACCCAAAATTAGTTTTTCTCGGCGCTCGAGAAGCTGTAACCAAACAGATTCAGTGGCCGACGCTTCTAATTTTATATCTTGTCTAACACAACAATTTAAATTGTCTCTGACGTACATCGCTACTCCACCACCCTTCCTGTTGACCCTGTCAGTGTGGAATAGTTTATAGCCTTGTATGTGACATTCAGAGGGCATCTCTCTATCTTTCAGATTGAGCCAGGTCTCTGTTATAGCAATAATATCTATGTTTCCTGCACTTGCAATTAATCTTAGCTCATCTATCTTATTATTTGGATATACCATATAGACATGTGAATCCTTTTGCATGATTGTGTGATGATAAGTGCTGAATGGTGTCAGTTTCCCCCGGTCTTTAGTCAATGAAGTTCAGTTAAAGATCTTTTCATATTATTGTCCTGAAACTACTAATT